CTGTTCGAAGCAGAATGTGCTCTGCTCTGGTTAGCGACCGTCGGAATCAGATCGAACCGGCCGCGCTAGGATGCACCACAACGCCGTGCAAGCACAGGGTCGCATCGCATCGCCAGAACACTGGAATCGACGCGGATCGTGCCGGCCGAAGCTGATATCGAGTCGGATGGATCGGGTCGGAATGGACACCAGAGAGGGGCTGGATGGGGGGAGGGGGCTGGCACGCTCGGACGTTCGTGCGCTCGGGGCGCGGGTGCGCTCACCAGACTTCCAGGCCACCCCCACGGAGGGCGCACGCACGCTGCCCGTGGCACCCTCTGGGTCTCTGGCGCCGAGTGCCCGCGCGGCACTGGCCGATGTGAGCAACCCTCGGGACCAGGCGTTGTAGCTGTTTCGCACCCCGGCGTTTTCGCCCGGTGTCGGGCCCCAGGACGATCACGGGGGTTGGGAAGAGAGACAGGGCACGACTGTGTAATAAGGCTATGCAGCATACGAGATGTTACGAATGATCTAGTCATTTCTCTCAACCCCCCCCCTCCCAACCCGAAAATTGTCTTTCTGGATTGGAAACCTGAAGCTTGAATTACGAGCGGTGATTATATCCCTATCCGCGCCGTCGGGGTGCGGAGTGAGGGCGCGGTCCCGCGGACCCGCGGCCGCAAGGGTACGTCCCGCGCGAGGCATCCACGGAAAAGCTCCCGTGTACGCGGGGTCGATGCACAGGTGCTGGGCCAGCGAGGCGGCGCATACGTATATGTATGTTTCGCCGACGATTGTAGGGGGCCACATGCGAACCCTACCCCTACCCCCCACGATTTCTGAGGGGGAGGGTGGGGTTCAGTTCGTTCGGGAGCTCCCGAGCGAGCCGAACCCCACCCTCCCCCTCAGAAATCGTGGGGGGTAGGGGTAGGGTTCGCATGTGGCCCCCCAGATTGAGTGAGCAAACATCAGGTCGAGCGGAAGTACTCCATTGCTCCAGGCCTGCTCGCGTCGAGAAGAAAGCACGACTGGAAGTCCGTGTTCGGCGGGGCACCCGCCGGGCCCCGCGGCAGTCATAAAAGCAGCCCAGGAGAAGAACGGGCCCATGGGGACGGGGTCGGGACCTCCGGGGACCAGCTGGCAAGACTAGCCAGCCCGAGCGTAGGAGGAGCGCCAGCCGCTGCCATTTTCATTCGAGTCCTGACGAGCCCCAGCAGGGGCGAAACGTTGACACGCGTACTGAAAAGGCACGGGCTTGAGAGCGCCATACGAGTAAGGAGCTAGGGGTAGGTAGGTGGGATGGTCATTGTCGTCATTGCCACTCTGACGCAGCATATTTGGCTCCAGTCTGGAGGGCCAGCAACGGCCAATTTCCCTTCCGAAGGGGGGAGGAGCCTTTAGCAGGTGTATCCGCGAAACCCAAAAAGAGAGAGGTCGGGACCTCCAGGGACCCCGCATTGGAAAAATCAAGACATCGCGCGTCTGGGAAGAGCTTCCAGCGGAAGTGCTGACCAGATGTCGGAGGGCCACCGGGCTGCGAAGTCCGCAGAGCTGGTGGAAACGCCGGGCCGATTTCGGTGGGCGGACAGGTTCCCGGGTGTCTGATTCTAGGTCCGGTTTTCCCAACATTGTAATATTCCTGGGTCTTCGACGTCGTGGCTGCGACCAAATACCTGGATCCTTACGACCATGGTCAAAGAGTGGATCACGTAGAGTAGACAATCCAGATCAAGGAGTAGAAAGCAAAACTGGGCAGAGAAGATTGAGAACATTGAACAGAAAATAAAAAACTGGTTCGAGTTGCGCCGGAAGATACCATGGACAGGTGTGGAACTCATACAATGAGTGAATAACGATAGAGAGAGGAAAAACATAAGGAGTATATATATACAGAGGAGGTAAAACTAGCGATCCCTGTCAGAATGAAAGAGTAGATAGTCGAGAGTACAAGTCAGCTAGCACAGTTCAGAGCCGGGCCTAGAGCGAAGGAGGAGAGAGAGAAAGAGGTGGAATTTTAGATGTCAGAGAACAGGGAGCAGAACCGACCTTTGCACTCTTGCTGCTGGGGGCGTCTATAAAGGCGTCTTGGGCTGTCTCGCGGAGCAAGCTACGCCGACCAGACAGGCCGAACTCGGCGAGCAGCCACGGCGAGCAAGCATGGAGCACCTGGGAAAATCTCAGCCATAGTACACTGCTGGGGCGCTTCGTTCGTATAATTCTTCACTGCCCAAGGACGCGGAACAAACCACCCATGCTTGTCCAGCGGCGGCAATCTGCGTAGTCAGGGAAACCAATCTGCCATCCCCCTGCACGAATGTCCGTCTCCTCGAGACTGAGCGCTCTTGGCGGACCGCCTCAGGCACGTAAGCGCCAAAGTGAAGCGGAATCGACTGCACAGCGCCCGAACCGCCCAAAGGACCAAAGGAGGAGGGGGGCAGGGATCGGTCACTGCATCCTGGTTGCATCTGGAACTTGGGCCCGTGGGTTCCACAGCGCAGGCCCAGGATGCCCGAGTGTGGGAGCCCAGCCAGCCCGATTCCTGAAGAGTCAACAGCCAATTACTGGATTCGTATGTGTGGTAACTTCCACCTTCCGCTTCGCCTGCGTTTGACTTTCTCACTGCTGCAAATGGTATCATCAGTCCCGTCCTACCCGTCGCAATGTCCTTATCCTCCTCCCCATCCTCCGCATGTTCACACCTCTCCTTCTCTTTTCATGTGTCCCAAAAGCCGTTATTCTCGATATCCTCCTTCTCCTCCTCTTCAACCTCAACCTCCTACTTGAGAGCATGAAACCTCTCATCGCGTAGCCCCGAATGCCCTTCCCCTATGCACATGCAACAACATTTCTGACAGCATTCCGTGTGCTCTTCCTGCCGCCCCACAAACACACACACGCACACACACACACGGTCCTGTACCCCTTGATCACGAAGCCCAGGGATTCGATTGACTCCTGGTATCAAGAGGGCGCGCACTCGCGGGCGACATGGGAACAGCTAGACACAGTGCTGTTGCCAAACAACCTCACATCCACAGCGGCATTCGATACGATTTACTGCTGTTCGGACAACTGGTGGAGAACCAGTCGACTGGCACGACCAGGCTGCCAAGCCAAGTATGCGCCAATCAATGTTAGAATGTGTGCCAAATCAAAAACGAAGCCTGAACAAGCATATGCGATATGCGTTGAAACACCCCCCCCCCGAGGCTGAACAAACTCAAACGTTCAAACACCCGGGGGGTTCAAACCCCTGGGGCCAAAAAAAGGGGGAGGGCTTGTTGGTGTTGCCTGGTGCGCTGTGGCTTAAACTCGGGATTTGTTTGATCTCGAAGGCCCAAGTTTACAGGCGCTCCTGGGCGCTCCCTGGGCGGCTCGCGCGACGTTCTCAAAGGCTTTGGGAGTGCGGTCTGGGCTCCATACTTCCAACATGGCCTCAGATGGTATCGAAACCCATCCTGGAGCACTCTTGGGCGCATGTTGTGCCTTGCGGCCGAAGAGGCCCAAATCGATGAACACCGCAAGATGGTTGCTCGATGGTTGTACGATGGATGCTTTCGGCACACAGGGCGCCTAAGGCGCCCCAAGGGGCCCCCAGGATCGCCCCAAGATGGCCCCCGAGGTCCCCAAGAGGGCCCCCAGACGGCCCCAAGAATGGCCCAAGAGGGGCAACTCGAACTGACATGTCGAGCCCGTTCCCCAAACATGTCTCCCGAGACCGTCAAGAGGCAAGCAAGAGACCCCCAGAGACTTTCAGAGGCCCCGAAGAAACACCCACGAGGACCCCAAAGGACCTCCAAGAGGCTCACAAGAGGCCCCCAAGAGGCTTCCAAGAAACTCCCAAGAAGCTTTCCGATAGACCCCAAGAGACCTCTAAGGGCCTCGTGTTCACGACCTGAACACATTGGCGTCATCGGGCGAAGGCCACCAGATATTAAGTATGTGCGCTGTATATGCAGTTTGAACTTCATCTGTAGGTTCACCTTCACCCTGGATCCCAACATAAATCTACATTTAGATTAGCGCCGTTTGGCTTGAACTTGACAGGCTTGGCGTAGCGTGGCTCAGAGAAGCGTGTGCAACCTTGGCGCAGTTTGGATTCGTTGTGCTCACCTGTCTGTGCATGGACCTGCTCGGTTTAGCTTGGATGTAAGTGTAAGCCATATGCGCATGCAGACAGATATCCGGCTTCAACGCTCGTCCAGAGGGGGGCGACCGTTGGAGCGTAGCGTCAGGCTTGCCTTGGCCCATCTGCGCTGGAGCTTGGTAATGAACAGTACATTCAGCTGTGTGCTGACGCTCGCAGGATGTCTGAAACGAGCGTGGCACACAGATTAGCTGCTTCGAGGCAGGCTGAATATTCACTCTAGCTCCGCTCAGCGCGGCTGTAGCTATAGTAACAGCAGGGTGTTGAACTAGGAGCGCGCCCAGGTAGCATGAAACTGCGCTTCCTAGTTCAGCATAGCGTGCCTATCTGATTGTGCATACGTAGGAAACCTAGGAAGGCATCGCTACGGAAGCAGGAGGCGTCAATCACATGATGCTCGATGTTTGTGGCCACCTAGTCGAACTGGCGCTTTCCCTGGGATGGATGAACTGACGAACCGATTCATCATTCATATGTGTTCCGCAATCCCTATCAAAACGCTTAAGGCCGATTATCACCTTCAGGCTATGATGATGGCAAATGCTTGAACAAACCGCGACGCAGAACACGCTGCTTCCATCTTTTAGTTATCAACACGGTGTTTCTGTCAAGTTGCCCAGGGAATCTGTACGCTCTCAGAGTCAGATCAGCGGGAATAATCTTCGCATGCTTCAACAGCCGCTGAGGCAGGGGATGTCAAAGAACCGCCGTCCCCGACATCGGGCATCGGTCCGCCACTCACTCGCAGCAGTTCACACAGCATTGCGACACTATGCGCCAACAAGCTGCCAAAAGCGACAGGATTTTGATGAGGACAAATGAGATTCGAAGGACGCCAATACAAGAGGGAGCGCCGATGGTGGCATGCAATTTTCAGCTGGGAGACACAATAGCAAATTCCAGAAACCCCAGCCACCCCGCACGATCCTACCGAAGCGCCGCTTGTGGGCCGCGAAATCGTGAACGAACGATCGCCTATGATAGCATGAGAAGTGAAACAGAATTCAGCATGTACTAGCGCGGCATGGGGGGAGGGGGAGGACGATCGGACTACCAAATCGAACGACACTAATGTAGCCCATGCTCCGGGACAACGACGAGGGAGAGCGGGCGGGAGGGCGGTCGAGAGCGAAGTGTACGACGAGAGAGACCACGGGGACAGCATGGCTTCAACCACTTCGCGCCAGCTGCCTGGCGAGCATTGCCGCAAGCGGGCGCCGAAAACTGGCATACTCTGAACGAGAATCTCGAGACTCTGTAAGCGATCCTGCACCAAATTCAAGATGGCAAATGGCCATCGATGTATTACAGTTGGTGTCTGCCGTTGCCCGTCGTCGCACAGGTTGGACGATCCTCCACCCCTGCCCTCCCTCCTAGAACTCAAACAGGCAGAGGGGAACTGTACTGTGGAAAACCCCTGCTGGCTTAGACCTGCAAGAAAGGGTCCACGCCCAGTGTGCTAAGAGCCCCCGCGCTACCAACATACACGGCGGTGAAAAAGAACCGATCGAGCAACCGGGGGGGGAAAGCTCACCTCCTCCTCCTCCTCCTCCTCCTCCTCCTCCTCCTCCTCCTCCTCCACATTCTCCTCCATATCCTCTGTACCCCCCCCTTCTCCTCACCATCATCAGCATGGTTTTCCTTGTCCTGCCCTCGCCTTCAACTGGTCGCGGCTCGACCGCTCGCGGTTCTTCCAGCAGCACCTGCACGACCCAGGGAGAGAGAGAGAGAGAGAGAGAGAGAGAGAAAGAGAGAGAGCGAAAGAGGGGGAGAGAGAGAGAGAGAGAGAGCACCCCTTTTGTCAACCCCGCAAGGCCTGATGGGGCTCAGGCGCATCTCTACAGCAAAACCATCGCTGATACGCCCCAGAAGCGTGGCCCCATCTTACGGGCAGAGGAGCCCGCCACCCGATGGCCTAAGAATGGGATTCCCGTGGCCACCCCGTTAATGAAGGCACCACGGGAACAAGAACAAACGAAAACGTTCGAAAACACTCTGACGCCCCCCACCATCCACCCTCCTCCTGCTGGGGACGCTAGCGAGACGCCTCAGGCACCGTTCAACATGTCCACATTATCCTGCAAGCACCCCGCTGGCTCCTGGCCCATCGTAGTCATGGCCCCTGTCTGCTCCAGCGAGGAGCGCATCAAGTTGCGCAACTCCACCGTCGCGAGGGCCATCGCGATCTCGCGGCACTTCTCGCTGCGGCACTTCCCTAGAAGGCGGACGTGGCACAACTGCGCGCGGCCCCGCGGTTCGCGCGCGGTGAGACTCTGCCCAATCTTGCGCTTCTGGGCGCTAACCTCCTCATTCACCAACTGCTTCTCTGGGTAAACGAATACTGCGCAAACCGACGGGCCCAAATTGTCCCCCTTGCCCTTCTCCTTGACTGCTGCCAAGCACGCGGCCCCCGCGCCCTGCGCGGCGACCGCGACCTTGGACTTGGCCACCGCGAGGCACGCGTCGCACAGCTGGCCGCTGATCTCGCGCAGCTGCTTGGTGTCGAGGATGAATTAACTGTTTGAGCAGGACCATCATCATGGCACCCATGCCCTGGTCCGCCACCTTCGCGACCTTCGGCTGCTCCTTGTTGGGCCTCCGCGCCCGCCTCCGAGGCCGGGTCGCCCTGCGGCCCTCGGCCTGCGCCGCCGGCCTCGCGCCCGCCGCCCCTCGCCCGCGGCGCCCCCCCTCCCGCCTCGGCCTCCTTCGCGCTCTGATCTTTCATCTCTAGAAGCCAGGCGGGCGTCGCCAGCACGAACCACTACAAGAAACGCCCCCGCAGCTGGAATCGGGGCGCGCGAGAAAAGGCGGCGCCATGGCTATTCGAAAGTCTCGAACTCAGAAGCTACGAGACACGCAAAACATCACTGATCGGGCGGCTCGATAGAACCGCATGGTAATCTCGCCCGGGTCGCATGGCATCTAGAGGTGGGTCCGCGATCCTTCCAATTGCACGAACGTTTTGCGCGCCATCTTGATTACCGCGGAGCAGGCCGGACATCGATTGGCATGGGTTAGTTTGTATTCTGTGGCCGCGCTCACCTCCGAGACCTGCGCAACGCCGTCGCGTCACTTATTCTTTGCGCGTCTTCGAGCGGCGCCGACACATGCCCCCCCCCCCCCGCCCCATCTCGCCGCGCCCATCTTCAACCTGCGGACGCAGTCAGCCCATCCTTCGCCCCGACTCGGAGCAGCTCGCGGCGGCGGCGGCGGCGCCGCCGACTGCGGCGGCACAGCGGCGCTCGAAAAGTTCTCGCGCAGACGACGCTCATCGATAATTGCCACGGCCTAGACGACGTCGCCTTGGAAAAGCGCAGAATCCCTCCGATCCCCCCAGAGCTCGCGAAAATGCTGGCCCCCCGCCCTCGGCCAGGACCTGGAGATCCCCGAAGAATCGCTGGGCCTGGGCACCCCGCGCCCCCCAACTCGTCAGCTCGCTCACAATCGCACTCGAACTTGCATCTGCCCAACAGAGTCGCCCACCACTGCCGCTGCTTTGATTGATGCGAAAATCGAAGAGCACGCTTACACCGCGCAATTCCCTGGACCTTCAGAGCCAGAGAGACGGGGGCCAGGCTCCACTGCTTCAAAAACCTGTTCGCTGTTGAGCTGCACGTTTGCGGCCCGGGGTCAGTCCGAGAGGCGGCCCCTTGCGACCTTGCATCGCAAGCCGCCGGCCCATCCAGTCGGGCCCCCTCGCCCTTCGCCGGCACACTCGCTTCCAAGCCGTTCAAGCTAGCATTGCGCGTCATTCCCCAGAACTGCAACATGCTGAAGTCCTTCGGGATCTTGGGATTATGCCAAGCCCCCGAATAAGCGCACCATCCATTTGACATGTTTTGTCGCCGGCGTTTCCCACACCTGTAGCAGTCGCGCACGACGGGAGGCCCAACCGCCTGAATGCCGAAGGGCATGAAGGAGGACGAGTAGCGGCGGCTCACGTCTGGCATGGTCGCGCACAGGCTCCCGGGCATCGAGAGAAGAGAAGATTGTTTTCCGCGCGGTTCTGCCGATAACGACCGCACCCCAGCCGAGCGTCGATAGCGTCGCCCCCCGCATTTCATTAAGATGTCAATGCGCTCCGAGGGCGCGCCATGGAAAATCGCCCGCATGCGAAACAAGTCATCCACGAACCGGAAAAGCCACGGGTCGGCGTCTCAAAATTCGGGCAAGAAGAAAACCATCCACGGGGCAGAAGTCGCCGCGGCGCGCGAGGTCCTCCAATGTCCCACGCAGGCGCGCGCGCAACGGACGAAGGCGTCGGCGCAGTCTCGGCTTCGCCCATCACAGCTCCTCCGAGCGGACTTGGCCCCCAAAAAACACCCCCGGCACAAGAATCGCAGCCTCGCGGCGCCGGCGCGGGGGGGGGGGCCGGGCCCGCGTCGGCGGCCGACGCGCGACGCTCACACAAATAACGCTCTGAAGAAACACCGCCAGTAGCCGCGCATCGCGCGCGCGAGCCAGAAGCGCGACGCCGCTGTTCCAGCTGCAGTGATCTCAAGACACTGAACGTCCAGCCCGCTCTAGCCGGCGACCTGCGGCACCGCTACAACTCGGCGCGCGCGCACGCGGATCCGAAAGATCGCTAGACCCCCGCCTGCGTGCTCGACCAGAAGAAATAGCCGACGGCCGCGAGCTCGCAAGTGGCCCGCCACGCTACCGCGTCTCTGGCCTGCCTCGAAGTGGACACCGCGCGTCGCGCAAGCGTCGCCAATGCCACCGCTGGGCCGAGCTGGTCCGGGCTTAAAGTTTTTGTCTGGGGGGGGGGGCAATCGCGGCGCGCGCTACAGGGGCGCCCCATTCAGGCGCGCATCGTCGCCGCTTCGCCACGCGCGCGACGCGCGCTGCTCGCTGCATCTGTTCACGAGACGCGTCGAGCAACTCTGGAGACGAACCCATGACGCCTGAGGGTCTGTTCAAATACCGACTGTCGCTTTAGGCGCGGATCTCGCGGGCCCCCGGGGACCTTGCAATCGCGGGGCGGAGCAGTTCGCCTCGCCAAGAAACTGTTTTGTTTCTTCTCTCGGGGCCATCTCTCGGCAAAGCGTCGTGGAATTCCTGCGCCGAGGCCGATCTCAGCGGCGAAATATCGTGGGCTCTTTTATTCGCACCCACCATTGCATGCGTCAGCGCTCGCGCCGCGCGACATGCCATTGCGCGACCACCTCGCCTCGGAACCTCCAGCAGACATTCGCGGAGAAGCTGCGGCCGCTGCCAATCGTCGCCGTCGCACCAGAGTAAGTTGAACTCCCGGGGGGCGGAGCCGAGGGGAGATGGCATGGATTAGGAGGAGAACGTGGACCCGGCGCGGCCGAGAGCGCACTCGTAGATGGCGGCATCGCCCGGCGATCAGCTCCGCGGCGCCCGGCGTCGTCGCGCACTGTCGCGCGAGCAGTGGCGCGGCTGCTTCGCAAATGCACGCCAGGAACAAGGCGTCGTGCATATCTGGTTTACTCGCACGCCCTGCTACACTAACATCATTCCCATGCGAAGTCAGCCCATGGTCCAACGCCACCAGAATCTCTGCCCTGTCCTCGCCAGTGGAGGAGGGCTGCCACTCTGACTAGGCCCCATCTTGCATGAACTCCCGGCATCGGCGCCGTCTGAACCTCGACAAAGCGGTCGGCGCCCACGGGGGCATGATTAGGAAATTTCTGCGAGACCTGCAGCGCCAGAGCCGCCCTCCACCAACGCGCGCACGCCGTGAAACCAGGACATAGGGCGCTCAGACCGATGACGGACTCAATCCTACCCTTGGAACCCTGATGCGCATGGCCAGCTCCGAAGAAGGGCCCGTTGAAGGCCGCCAGGTGGCGCGCGTTCAGCAGCCCGCGCATGCGCTCGCTCACTCTGCCTCTAGGGTCAGGAGCGAATGGGCCGACTGCATCGCCAGGGCCGCTTGGATTGCCAAAGCCGCCATTCAAGACCACCAAGATGCACGGCGTGGACCCTGGCAGGTGCGTTCGCCAACTCGCACTCTAACCGCGTGGAGATGTAGTCTGTCGCAATATGCCATGCTGGCTTGGCGGCTGGAGCCCTCGGAATCGGCGGGAAGCAAATCACAATGAACGCTGCGCGGCAACTTCCCTTGACGCACACGTCGGGGACCCCCCTCTGCCCGCGACGCCTGCAGGAGGCTGCTCGATTCGAGCGATATAGGACACGCGGGACCTGGAGAACTCCAATCACATCACCACTGCACAGCTCGTGTTCGCGCGTGGCGACGCGCCCCAAACCCATTCAATGGCACGTTGATGTCGCGTGAACGACTTGGCGCGCAGACCGGCCCGTCGCCGTCGGACTGAAATGCTAGCGGGGCCCGCCGCGTCGGCGCCCCGGAGGTCCCCCGAAATGTCGGCAAGGCGTCTGACTTCGCGAAGGCTGGGTTGCACTGCGCGAGCGTCAGCGCAGCCCTCCGCGCTGCTGCCATGGTCGGGGGGGGCTCTGGAGCGGGAGACATCACCGCCTCGCGGTGCGGAACATCCTCGGGCCTGCCATGGCTCTCTTCAGCCAACGTGGCCCCATGCTTTCAAAATTGTTGGGCCCACGGCCCCCTGGCAGGGCCTGAGCCGCGGCGCTGGTCTCGGTCTGGAGCTTCGTCAGAGCCATGCTCGGGCCGCGGGAGTGCCCGCGCCGAGGTGCGCCGCCGCCGCTTGCACCAATGGGCTCCGGCGCCGCCCTGAACCATGGTGAGCTGTCGAATTGCACTGACTGGCCAACTGCACCGATCGAAACCACGTACGCCGCCCCGAACGGTTCCATGGCCAACGCCGCGGGGGCGCCAGCGGGGGCGCCAGCGGAGCCGCCAGCGAGGCCGATCTACAACGTGCACAACGACACTGCGTGGGCAACCAAGAAGCTTGGCAGGGAGATCATCGGACCCAGGCGATTATGTCTCGGCTCCGCAGACGTGGATCTCCTCGTCCGTGGCGACAGCGGTGGTCTCACGCGGCCGCAAAAGGAACTGGCATCACCCGTTCCCGCGCTCGAGACTGGAACGGTTTGCCATTTCCGCATGGTTCGCCGGGGCAAAGACACCTTTCTCACCATTCGCACACTGAACATTGTGGTGGAGGTGTCGTACCCGATCAAGAGGAGCACGCACCCGACTGAGAATAAAAAATGATTAGTCTGCCCGAGCAGCGGCGGCCAGCGGCTCGACGCCGAGGGCACGCATCTGGGCATATCTGGCCTGGCGCCGCGCCAGGGCTGCTGGCTGCTCCGCCGCGGGCAGCAGGAGGATGCAGCTCTCAGTAGTCATGGCCGGGAACACACCGCGGCCGTCCATAGGCATGAACTCTTTGCACCGACTGCACTGCAGCAGCTCCTTGCCCTGATGGAGCTGGAGGCCGAGGTGGTGTCTCTGTTCGGCCTCCGCCTGCTGATTGTGCGTCTCGATGCGGTCCTCCCGCTTGGCCCGCTGGATCTGGGCCTGGCGGTTGGTCTGAGGCGCCTCCCGGCCGAGACAGCGCCCCCTCAGGAAAGAGGCGAACGAGTCGGCGACGGCCGTCCGGTCGCAGTGCTCGCAGCGGAGGCACTGGCCCTGCCGGCCACCGAGAGGCAGGACAACGTGGCGCTGCTCAGCCACCGCAGTCCTGTTGTGCAGGAGGCGTTTCATCTCCCGCTCCTTTTGTCGGCGGATCGCCTGCCCGAAGCGATCGCCCTGCGCCGACACAGCTGCAACTGCAACTGCAATCGCCTGCTGCTCTTCAGGTGTCCACGCAACCTGGAGCAGCTCAGCGAACGTGGCTCCCTGGCTGGGGCCACGGCGCCGTGGCATGGCAGGCGCAGAGCCTCGCGCCTCGCCCTGCAGTGGCTGGGCAGCCGGCCCGTCGGATCCTGGAGGGGACCACAGGGGGTACGGGAGACTGCCGACGGTGACCTGTGGCATCTGCTTGGGCTGGGTGCGGTTGCTGCCGTTCAGCCGAGCAATATGCAGCATAGCCGTAGCCACATGCTGTGGGCATAGCAATCGGGGGCGGACTGGGACTCCGTGGAGGTCTGGGAGCTCCAGACGCCGCGCCGCCAGCACCCTCCGCGACGGGGCATTCCAGCCGCCTGGCTTGAGGCGCGCAAGAAGGCGCGTTGAGCGGCAGATCTGCGCCAGGCGGCGGGAGGCAGACGCAAAGTATTCCTGCAACCGGTGCGCCTTCGGGACTCCTGCTGCATTCGCCTCCTGCGGAACCACATGTGTCGCGTACATGTAGTCCAGGGCCAGCTCTAGGAAGGTGGCTCCGACGTCACCGGGCTGCGGTGACACAGGAAACTGCAGCGTGGACCAGTACCAGTGCAGAGAAAGAAGCATGGCATCAGGGTATCGCCAATGTGTGCATATGCCGATACCTGATTTCAGAGCAGTCCTGTTGAGCAGCGGTGGGAGCGCCTCGGTCAGGTCTGGGCGCGTGTTCCCCACAATGGGAATCGGTTCCCACGGATACTCCGGGAAGTGGTGTTGCTCCAGCAGGGCGGCGTCGAGGCCAGCACCAGCCCCAGCTCCAGCCCCAGCGTCGAGGCCGGCCTCAACACCAGCCCGCGCCTCAGGAGCCCCAGCACCAGGTGGGGGTCGCTCTTCCCCCGCTCCTGGTTGCTGGTCGGCCGGCGGCTGGTCCCCTGCCTGGGCCTGCTGCCACGACTGCATCTGCTGGTGGGGCGCGCGGCCGGCCTCCTCCAGCAGCAGCCCGCGGGCCTCCAGAATGGCCACAGCACGCCGCTGAACGGCACGCGTCACGGTGGCACGGACAGCCACCCTGCGGACCAGGTCGTCGCAGGGCGCGCGCTGGTCCGAGCCCGCGACGGCACGCCTGTCGGCCCCAGCATTCATGAGGGCTTCCAGCATGCGCTGCCGCTCATCATCCGTAGGGTTGTCTGGGTCCTCCGCCTCCCAATTCTGGTCGTGACCTCGCACTTTGCGTACACGGAAATGGTCGGAACCCCCTTTGGCATGATAAGCGGTGGCAATGTTGGCCCAGAGATCACAATGCTCTGGGGAGGGCCGGAGTCCGGCCAGCAGGCGCTCGAATCCCAAGAATACGAGATCACTGTCCGTCCAATACTCTGTGGGCCGCCAGCTGTGCGCCAGCACACGAGCACATGCCGCGACCTCGGCTCTCTGGGCGGTCTGCTCACAGCCACGCAAGGGGAGGCCGAAGTTGGCGCTGTGGTTGCGGCCGTAGAATGCTCCAAACCCTGCTCGCCGAGCAAGGGGAAGATGCTGATGATGACACGCGCCGTCCCCAGCTGCGATGAGGAAGCCATCCGCAGTGAAGATCTCTACGGCGTCGTCGGTCTCCAGGCGCGGCGGCGGCTCGCCGTGGCCCTGCACGGGCGGCAGTGCAAGCCGCGCTGCTTCATCGCGCGGATCTTCCACTGCCAAGCCGCACAGCCGCGCGCAGGTGGGCAGCGAGGGGCCCAGCTCGCGGAGGTCTGGGGTGGTCCACTCCTCCCTGGCGGCCACAATGGCGGGGTGGCTGCAGCGCTCGAGGATGTGGTCTGTGGTCTCCACCTCTTCTCCGCAGAGCTGACACACCCTGGTCAGGCTAGCGGGCGCGGGCGGATCGCCTCCGGCTCCCGCAGGCCCGGGGGCGGCAGCGGCAGCACCGCGGGCTCGTCTCCTGAGGGTCTCCTCGGCGATGGCGCCGAGGCGGTCCTGCGTGTTCACCGCTCCCGCAAGATACGTCCGCAGAATGCCCCGCTGCAGCTTCGTAAGCTTCGTGGGCGCCCGCAGGAGTGCAGCAGAGGCGTCGACGTCGACCACGGCAGCCCCGCGCTGGAGCTCAGGCATGTCTGGGCGGAGCTTCTGTCTGGACCACGCGGCCCGGCGGAGGCCCACTCGGAGAGCATGGAAAAAAAAAAAAAAAAAAAAAAAAGACTCCCCAACTTCCAACCAGCGGATCGGCTCGCCACTGTGGGTGATCAGGATGTCTACGTTGAACAGATTCCATTCGATATCCTCGAAGTATTGCAAGAGTCTCGCTGTGGGCCCCTGGAAGGACCCTGAGCCGCCTGCCACCAGGAGGGAACGAACAGCCGTAAATTGTCGCAGGCCCGCGGCGGAGCTGCGAAGATAGCGGAGCCAAGTCCGTATGGTGTTGTAGCGCAAGCACTGCCAGGGGTCCAACATGTGCCCTCTGGTGAGTACCGTAAAGAATACGGCTCGGGAGCGTGCATACCGGCCGTCCCCCCACGCAGCGTCCAGGACGGCCGTGCCAAGAGCCGTCAGCTGCTTCTCCGAGGGCGTCGAGTACTCCATCCCGTAGAGCTTGGACAGCGCACCGGTGCTGATGAGCTGGCACTTCGTCCCAAAATCTACCGGCAGCGTCGCTACGCGGCGCACCGAGTTGAAGGCAGACGTGTAGCGATCAGCCGCGTATATGCTCACGTCGTCCTCGGGGCCCGGGGAGATGGGCAGGCACGCGCCGAGAAGGTGCAGAACCGCAGTGATGCGCAAGGGCGTGCCATTGATCGTAATCTGCCCCAGCTCACCTGTCAACTCTGCCGAGGTGCCGAAAGCGACTGTCTTGTCCATGTTGGTCTGCTGGCCGCTCAGCTCGTCGAACAGCAGGGACCGGGAGACGCCCTCCCGAATGAGACTGGCGGACGCGGCTGCGAGGTGGGAGTCGTCGAAAAATCCCCCTGTAGAGAGCCCGCCGGCCTCAACCAGCCGTGTCCAGACTGCCATGTGCGCCGTGGTCACAAGGATGGCAAAGGAGTCGCCCTGGCCGAAGCCGTTGGAGAGCTGGTAGAAGTCGCTGATGGCGCCGCCGATGCCGAAGAACAGCTTCTGGACGTGAAGCTGCCGCTGCACCGCCTTCAGGAGAGGAGTGGGGATCCCCATGCACTCCAAGAGCTGAAAAGAAATGTGCCAAACCCATCTGTCAAAACATTTCCGACGAACAAGAGAGACACCTCAAAACGCCGTGCCCTGGATGTCGTGATACTCCGCAGCAGCAGCCGTCGGAAGGAGAACATCATGGGTAGTGGCACCCTTCCGAGCTCCGTGCATGCTGGCTGGCATGATGGCCTCTCTCCAGGTGTTCGTGTCATCGAATCGGATGCCTGTGTACAGACAATAAAAGACAGAGAAAATGCGAATAGGGCGAAGTTTGTCCGGGGCCCCGCCCTCTCCTTTGTCTAGAAATGTCCCTCGCACATAATCGATAACAGAAGGCCATGGGTGGTCATGCTGTTCTAAGGCATTGAATAAATCCGCCCACGGCCGGAGGAGCAGGCGAGGCAGGCACTTCAGCTCGCGCGCCCTCCATCCATCCACGCCTGCGGCCCTCTGCCCATCCATGGAGGCAATCTTTCGACGCAGCATGCGCTCGTCGAACTCCGGGAATGTGCATGTGGCCGTAGGGATGTGGCCCCGGAGCTGGTGCAAGTAGTTCTCCCAAGAGGGAGCTGCAGGCAGAACGTGGTCAGGACCGCCCGCTGCAGGCCCAGCCTGCCAGATGTTGAAAATGGCGTGCCAGGTCTCCTTGCACATCTTGTGCATCTCAAGGGGGTCCACGGTCAGGGAGCCGTCGGGGCGCCGCAGGTGGCGGGCAACCTTCTCCTGGACCCCCCCAGCCTGCTTGATGTGGCGGAAGAGCGGGGCGGAGGCGCGGCCGCTGGTGGCAGCGTGCATTTTGTCAGCCCAGCGCCGACACCGAAGCTGCCGGCGCACATGTGCCAAGTCAAGGATGTACCGATCTGTGGCCTCCTCTGCTGCCAAAATGCCTGTGCAGGTCCCCAGGTTGACGTTGGCCAGGTGGAGGCGCGTTGTGCCCTCATCATCTGGTCCCGCCGGCGGGCCCTCCAAGCGGCGAAGGAGGATCCGCGTGTTACCGAGCAGGTTGTAGTACTCGACCCAGAACGGCGAGGACACGGACTGCTTGGCGGTGTTGGTGGTCGGGACCGCCGCGTCGCCAAGGCGCCGGAGGTCCAACTTGTCTAAATTGATCCTCCTCTGCTTGGCGCGGAGCTGTCGCAAGCACCGCAAAAGTTTCTCTGCCTGCAGCATGGGTTGCGTAGCAGCGCCCAGCTCAGGCCGTTTATGAAGATATGGTGCAACAATGCGCTGCTTCTGAAAGCGTGGGGCTCGGCAGCGACGCGCACCGTCATCAGGAGGAACAACGCCCGTGACGTCTCCCACGCGTAGTCGGAGGTAGAGCTGGGCCGCGTCACTCCAGAGCGTCATGGCCTCGTTGACCAGCGCTTGGGCCTCCTCGGCAGGTGCCGAAGCAGCCGCCCCGAGGGCTGCATAGAACTGCGGTTCGACGTTAGCCCAGACAGCCGCAGCAGTCTCCTTCGGGCCCTCGGAGTCGATGTCGTCTCGGGCAAGAGCGCTGACCCCGAGCGGTGCAGGGGCGAGGACGATCCAGCGCTCCCTGGCCAGGGAACCGAAGTCGAAGGACGCTGTGAGGGCACAGTGAAGCGGAACAGCAAAATCTGCCCGGCGGAATCGCCGGAGGGCCGCATGCGCAGCCGCATTCACAATGATGAGGTCGATTCGCGAGCCACCGACTCCTGCATGACGATCCGCCTCTGAACGATAATACGTAGGGCTCACGCCCCCCATGGAGGCGCCGCAGTCGTACCACCTGTCAGTGCTGAGGGCGGCGGCCAAGACGGGGCTGGCGTCAGCATCGGCGTTGAAATCACATGTAATAATCACTGGCCGGCCTCCTTGGGCCTCCCCCCACGCGAAAACCGCACGCAGGTGCCGCTCGTTGGCGGTGAAGTCGAGCCCCGCCCGGTAGGAGCGGACGCCGCTGATGCCGTAGAAGGTGGCAATGTGGGCAACACCGGGGAGGCAAACGGCTTTCCACCGGGCGGACTCGGTGAGGGCTCGCTCACCAGCGGAATCGGGCGCGTGTGGCACCACAGCCAACGATGATCTGGTGAGCAGGGCGACGCCAGAGTTGGTCACGTTGCGGCTCGTACGAGTCTCGCGGTGCCGGCCGCCGGGAGGTCGCCCCGAGGGCAGGCCGGCCGCGGCGCAACGCTGAGCGCTATGGCGGCTCGGAGCGCCGAAATAGACGCAGATGTCCGAGTCGGAGGCCTTCAGGCCGCTAGCGAAGTCAACCTGCGCCTTGCTGCCCAGCTTGGTCTCCTGGACAGCTGCGATGTGGGCCTGCTTTGCCCATGCGGCGAGCACGGGAGCACGCCCCAAGGCCGACGTCACATTAGCAGTCTGAATGGTGAACAGTGGATGCGCCGCAGCGTCGACACCAGCAAACCATTGCAAGAAGAAGAAAATGTATGTACAGAAGCGGCCTCTGGTACCCCTGGTAGGCCCCGGGCACAAGAACGTCGCTGCATGCCCGGACCCGTCGTAGGGGCCCCGTCAATACGGCCCATCACGAGGCGCTGCTGCCTTTGGTGGCCCCTTTGGAAGTGCCGCCGCTGGTGGCGATGATGGTGCAGGCGCCCCGCACGGCGATGATGGTGCAGGCGCCCCGCCCTGCTGCTGGTTCTGCGCGAGCATGGCGCGCAGCCCGTCCATCAACGTCTTGTTGTTGCTGGCCAGGGAGTCGGACCGAGCTGCAGGTGTGACCATGTTAGCCTGCAGGGCGGCGAGGTCCGACTGGCACTGGGTGGCCGCAGCCGTGGCAGCGGTGGCAGCTGCCGTGGCTGCGTCGGCGGAGGCCTGGGCGGCCGCGCTGGCGGCGCGCACCTGCTTGGCAACCTCCTCCGTCACGAGGCCGCGGAGCATCTCCATGGCCGCGGGGTTGACCTGCATGGAAGCGGCCGCCACGCGCTGGGAGGCCGGAGAAGCAGCCTTGGCGAGTGCGGCTTCTGCAGGTGCTGCAGTGCCTGCGGCCTCAGCTTCCGGTAGTTCGGCTGCACCTCCGCCCATGAGGTCATCCGCAGGCGGCTCGGCCGACTTGGGGTCGGCGCTGCCGCGGCTCTGGCCCTTGGAGGGCTTGATCACCTCCGCGATGGTGCACAAGTGGGCGCCGAGCCGGACGTGTGGCTTCGGCGGCGGCGCAGCCGCACGGACCACACAGCAGAATTGCAGCTGGCTGGAGGGCCCACGGCCGACGCGAGTGTCGAACATGCGGTCGAAGGTGACCTCCCACCCGAAGGGCTGCTTGGCGAGGGCCGTCTGCAACGCCTCGCCGTCCAACTCCAGCGGGACGCCCCGTACAGTGCACGACTTCTGGCGGCCAGGGGCCGTGAGCGACCCCACGATCCGCAGAGAGGCAGCTTCATGATGTTCAGCTGCCACTCGGACGCCAAGGCGTTGGGGAGCAGGCACGAGTCCGCGCTGCCCGTCAAGAGTATCCATCACAGCCAGTGCTGCGGGAAGGTCGGTGCCGCTCTTGAACCACACGATCGGCGCCGCCTTGTCCTCGGCGGCCTGGGCAGTGGCGTCGCCGAGGTGGGCGATCCAACAAAATTTGCCATCCTTGCCACTGCCGGCCCGGAGGGTCTTGGAGGTCTCTTCCGTCACCACAGCGAGCACGCTGACGGAGCGTTTGCCTCCCGACTTCTCGAATAGCTTGGGAGACCAAGCCCTGTAGACGATAGCATTCGAGTCGACCTGCTGGACCCACGCCTCCACGAAGGTGCGGTGCCGGTCCCTGGAGTCGTCGGTCTGTTCCTCCTTCGCCTTCCCCTTTGCCTTGGGGCCCAGCGCCTTGAGGGCAGCAGACCAAATATCAGCAGGCGCGTGCTGCTCCCAGACAGCAAGACAGACGACGTGCTTGGCCGTTCGCACAGCGTCCTCAATGTCGATAGCGGCATGGTCCTGCTGCAGGATCTCGATGGTGGGGCCGGCCACCCCCGACAGCTGCCAGACGCAGGCTGACATCGGGGCCTCGGTGTCGGTGCCCTTGAGCTTAACAATGATAGTCACCTCCTTGCACGGGTGGCTGGTCTGGAAGAGCTGGCCGTCGGCCAGGGCCTCGAGCTCCTTCTTCGCACCAGGGACAACGATGGCCAAGGCTGTCGCACTCGGCTCAGTCTTGAAGTCCCCCATTAGCCACCATGCCTGGTCCGGTGTGCAAAAATGTACGCCCTGCGAACCACGCGTAGGGCGAGAAGTAAGTATAGGGCCTGGCCACTGGGTCGCCACCAGCGTGCCCGGCACTTCCTGCTTGTCGGCGTCCTTGGATGCCGTGGCCTTGCCCTGCGGCTTGGCAGCTGCTTTCGCCTTAGCTGCGGCCGGAGGTCTGGGTTGCTGCTCGGCTGACCCGCTGGCTGTAGCGGCAGCGTTTTGCCCAGGAATAGATATCCCTCCTTCGCGGGTCATGGCCAAGAACTTCTTGTGCACCTCGCCGGCCTTCATGGTCTTCAGCGCCCGGATGCGGGTCCGAAAACCCTGAGCAGACCACAGCTTGTCCAATGACTTTGCGACAAGCTTCGAAGTTAATCTGGCGTCAGTCTTCTGGAGGAGTCTCTGGATCTCCTCTCGGACATCTGAGGGCACAGAAGAAGCAGAATTTCCAATCAAACTGTGAATATACTTGTTCCACTTCCGTGCTGACGTCATCCAGTGACGTCCTATAGTGGGTCGATAGTAAGGAACTGCACAATCATTAGCCAGATAATCCCAGGG